AAAATTTCATGTGAAAAAATAAAATAAAAAGGAGCGTAAGAGTATCGTGGAGAAAAAAGAGAGGGGAAATGTGAAGAAGACAGACAATTTTGGTGATTTCTTCCTCAATTGAGAAGAAAATCAATAATTGTTTTATTTTTATACATGTAGATATATTACAATATGAAAAAAAATTCACAAGACTTGATTTACACGAATTCAACAAGAAAGGAAATAATTCAACAAAAAGTATCATCCGTTAACAAAAATTTTCATGCAAAAAAAAAAAAAAAAAAAAAAAGGAGCATAAACAGGGGCAAAGTTAGGAATTTGGTTCAGGGTCATATTAACAGTGACAAAATAATTTTTTCCTAGACAAGTCAAAAATATAATAGTATAACAACAGTATAGTAGAATAAGTGAATAAAAAATGAATAAGAAAAATAAAATAAATTTATTACACATAAATTATGCATAAGTGCAAAAAAAAAAAAAAAAAAGGAAATTTTTAAGAAGAAAATGAAATAAAAAGAAAAAAAAATATGAGAGAATTTTGAAGGAGCAAAATATATTTTAATTGTAGAAAGAGAATGCAAAAGTTTTTGAAAATAACAAAAAGAAATTTGAAGAGTAAGAAAATAATAATAATAAATAAATAAAGAATTAAAGACGTTTTTAGAAATAGATAATTTTATGGGGGATAATTTATAAATTTTATGAAGGTATTTTATAAATATTTACTAATTATATGTATAAAATAAAATAAAATTTAGTGAATTCAGGAACAGAAAGACTATTTTATTAATATTAAGAGGGACATTTTATTAATTTCTACAAATTTATGTAAAAAAAAAAAAAAATCTAGTGGATAAGCAGGCAGGGGGCAGCTGCCTCCCTAGCACATGCTGGCTCCACCCTTGAGCATAAGAGTATCGTGGAGAAAAGGAGGGGGGAAAGGAGAGATGTGAGCGCATGGTTCCTGATGAAGAAATGTTTCGTATTATTTTTGTCATTTCAATTATTTAAATGTAAGAGTGGTGCGCTAGAGTATGAGAGTATATCATCTCCCGTCATTATTGAGTAATAAAAAGCAAGCCCAATACACTAAAAACTAAGCTAACTTTTAATAATTGTGATATAACCATTTTTTTTTTGGCTGAACTTGTGATATAATTGACATAGTTAAAATATATAACTTTTTCATATAATTAATAAAAATAATTATAAATAAATGTTTATTATTTTTAATTTTCTTATATTAAAAAAATCTATCAAAAAAATATTTAGTAAATTAAAGTGATAATTTTAAAAGTGAAATAAATACATATAAGTAAACATATGGACACTCTCTTGGCGCTCTTTGCCTCGCACTATCAAAATTCTAGACTTTGACGTTTCCGCTCTCGTTCCTATTTTCACTTTATGTAAATTAGGACATGCGTCGTTTAAGATAAAAATCAATTATAATATTTATCATTTTCGGTATATATTTCAATTCATGATCCTAATCATTTTTCACATGCCTGTATGTATATATATATATACATCCAGCTCCTGAACCATTAGAGTTAAACTAGTGCGAACTCTAAATTATTAATATACTCTCTTTTTTCTGGGTAAGTTATTAAATATACTTTTCTCTCTCTCTCTCTCTCTATATATATATATATATATATATATATCTATCCTCAATAATTGACAGTTCTCTCTCATTACCAACCCTTCACCCACCTTTATGTCCGAAATCAGTATCCTTTGTTGTCATGTGATTATCTATTTGTTTCCAAACCATCCTCATTCCTCACATTTCAAACATTATTCTTGCATATGTTAGTACCTTAATATTATCTTTTTTAACCTTTTAAGCTCTAATTTGTTTTATTTCCGATTTTAAGGTGTTTAAAGCTAAACAGTGCTTAATCCAGTGCTTTAAAACTTCTACATGCCGAAAGAAGTCTTGGCGAAGAGGAGCAGACAAAAGAGGCTCAAAGTACACAATTTAGTGCACTCGATCGATCGATTACTTAGCTCGATCGATCGAGTTCGGGTACGAGACCTTTGCAACTTCATACCTTGATCCCTTTTTGAAGACCAATTGGAGGTGCACTCAAATGACGAGCCTTGTGGACGTGTTCTGCCCATCTCCTGGTCACAAGCCAAGGTATAAATAGAATATTAGAGCGGGCAAGATTGGGAGGCCTCTCTCTCTCTCTCATATATATATATATATATATATATATATATATGTGGTTCTCTCTTTGAAGATTGGATATGATGCTATTTGGTTGTGCTTAGAGATGGAGATTCATCCTTCACTAAATATCTACCCTACCACTATAGCTAGCTAGACTTCAAGCAAATTGTAGTTTTGTTATCAATTTTGGGGATTTTTTTAGTGTAATGATTGTATAATTTTGTGAATTGAATTGGTTGTACCAAGATTGATTAAGCTTTAATTATACAATTGATCTTCTTTTAGTCTTTGTCTTGTCTTAGATATTGATTATTGTATGTTGATCTCAACATTTTCACTTTTTGTAACTGTGATGATGATAGTTATACAATGATGCTTATGTATATGATTGTAATCAACCTGATATTCCATGCCTAGTGAAGATGAATTGTGCTACAAACTTATATTAGTAGGTAGGTAAACAATGCATGTCTAGCTAAGATGGATTATACTTGTTAATGTCAATTGGAGTTATTGCTTGAACTTAACAATAGGTCAGTGGTCTAGCGGTACCAGGCTCCTACTTTCCAAAGGCAAGTCAAGGGTTTGAGTTTCGGTAGAGGCATGTGTGTGTGAACACCAATTAAGGAAAAAAAAAAAAAAAAAAAGGTTATTGCTTGAACTTAATTGTGTGCGTGTAGCCATAATTCATAAATACACTTCTGAATTCCCCAAGATTGTTGGCAATGCTACGGTTACAAGGTTAAGATGGTTTTCCTGCCCTAAGTCTCTCCTCATTATATTCTCTTTCTCATTACTATCTCATTTTACTTGCATTCTTACTTAGTTTATTTTAGTTATTAATTAGGAACAATTCTACCCTTATCTTATATCAATTGTTTATTGAGTTTGAATTTAATCAAGCCATAGTTCTTGTGAACGATACCTTAGTTATACGACCCATTCTATTGCGGAAGTAATGGTTTTATAAATATTAAAATTGAGCTAAACCACAAATTATAAACCACTCACATTAGCCGCCTTCCACTATCACCGCACCACTGTCACTGCCACTGCCTTCCATCATCATCACCTACAACATTCACGCCTTTCACCATTGCTTCCACCTCCTCCACCACCACTGCTATTGTCTTCCATCAACACCAATGTCGCATTCTGCCACCATCGCTACCACAACCGCCTTCCAACACCACCATCTACACCACTACCATTTTTTGCCTCCACCATCATTGTCACCGCCATCTACCACAGCTGTCATTTCTTTTTAAAAAATTATAGAATAATTTTATTTTGTTAACTTAGTATATTTGTCACAAAGGAGTATTTGGATAATTCAATTTGAAATTCATTCCATTTTAAATTTTAAATTGGTTCAACCAAATACTAGAATGGTTATTATCATTTCATTTCTATACGTTTCATATTTGCAACCAAACAATAGAATAAGAATGACCATTTTATTCCGTCCTCATTCTATTTTCATTCTCATTTGCATTCAATTATATTCTTACATACCAAACGCAGCATAAATGTGAGTTTGGTTGGAGAGAAATGAAAGGAAAAGACAAGAAAGCTTTGGAGGAAAATGCTAAATTATGTTTGGTACAAATCATTAAAGAAAACAAAAGGAAATAGAGGGATTTGGAGGGATACAAAATAGGCAAATGATGGTTGAATTTTGTTATCCTTATAAAAATGGAAGGAAATGAAAAGAAAGGGCTATAAAGTTTAATAAAACTTTTATAATACCAATTTTGTCCTTATTCTTGGTATTTTTATAAAAAAACAAAACCTATAGAAAAGGGCACGATAGTAAATTCATTAAATAATATCATTTATTTTCCTTTCCTAAATATGATTACTATCATTTATTTTCATTTATTAATTAACCAAACATAATAATACACTATTAACACTTTCCTTCCTACTTTTTTTTTTTCTCAAAATTAATGATATCTTTTATTTTGTTTTCTATTATACCAAACATAGCCTCAATGCTAAATAAATTTTCCATTTTTTTTCATTTCCACCTACTTTCCTCTAACCAAAAAAAATCCGTCTTTAAGGGTATGTTTGGATTGAGAGATTTGAAGGGATACGGACAAAAGAAAAAAACTTATATTTGATGTAGATTGTGTTTGGATTATTTAAAATGGGAGAAAAGAAATGATAGGAAAAGATAGGGGGAGGGATAATTATTCCACATATCTCTCAAAAAAGGGTTAAGTATCTAAAACACCCTTAAGATTTACTTTTTGAACAAATAACATCTCTCTTTTACTTTGGGTGTATAACTCCCTCAACAATTTTAAAATGTTGTAAAGAAGATTCTTCGGCTGTTATCGTTAAAAATGCTCCGTTAAAAAAACACGTGTCTATCATATGACTGATTAAATTTAATAAATATCAAAATTATCCTTTTTTAATTCCCAAAATGCATTTTTCTTTTGTATATAAATCTCAAAAATAAAGGATATAATAGGACTTTTACATTAACTAAATTTTTATTTTTTTTAATTATAAGAAAGACATTTTAGTATTTGTATCCATTAACCACTAATTGACGGGAGATTTTCATTTGCTCATCCAATAAACGTGATTTTCAGAACCCATGAACTATATGCATACTAGGGGTATTAAATGCTTTGTCCTCACAAAATAAAAATAAAAATAAATAAATAAATATATATATATATATATATATAATGTTTAAATAATATTTTCATAATTCCAAAATATGAATAAAGATTATTATTCTCATTTCATTTCTCTCACGTGTATCCAAACTTAGCCCAAGCTTAGCCTAAGACGCCTCATCCGTGTCCCCCAAACACACCGCTTTTCACTGTACAGTTCGAACCACAAACACACCACACACCACACTGCGATCAAATATATCCTTGACCTCAAGAACGCACAAATACGTTCAACCTTTTAAACCCTAATAACCACCATTTCTCATCTTCACTCTCTGAAATTATTTTCCTCACTTCCCGGGTCTTTCCCGGAAAATCCTGAAAACATATTCGGAAAAATCTCGCAATCAATGGCTTCCTCCTCGACCTCACAGCCACCGGCGGCAGAAACAAGGAACTGGCTGGAACTTCCGCAAGACGTGACGGCGATGATACTGCACAAGCTTGGGGCGATAGAGATACTTGAGAGCGCACAGAAGGTGTGTATGGCGTGGCGTAATATCTGCAAAGACCCTGCGATGTGGAGGACCATCGACATGCGCAATTTGGGGGATCTCTGGGACATGCCGTACGATCTCCAGAAGATGGCGATGCACGCCATCGATCGCAGTTGTGGACAGTTGGTCGATATCAATATCGAGTATTTCGGCACCGATGAGACCCTTCAGTACATCACCGAGCGGTATCGCTCTGTCTTTTAGATTCATATATATATATATTTATATATATATGTATGTATATGTGTTATATATAATTGTTTTAATAGATGAATTTATATATGTATTGAATATAATGTATGTTTATTTAGTTTATTTGAATGTTGAATATATACATTACTGATTAGTGATTTCTGGCGTTCAACACCGGCCTTGAATTTATATGTCTGCTATGTTATGCTAGGGTTTTGTAGATGATGAGTTCTACTTGGGTTAAATAGTTGGTATTTACTGATTAATGTTTAGTTGTATCTAGTTGATTTCACTAAATGTTTGTTATTGTTTATGGATTTCTCTTCACCCGAAATTTGATTAATGATGAAATGGAAAAAGATAACATAAAGAAATTAAATTGTTAATCGTACATGACCCTTTTTTTTTTGGACCTAAAATGAAGTTATATGATTGATTGCTAAGATTTTCTGTTGAATTATTTTGTTTTATTCTGAATACTCTGCTTCTACACTTTTGTGGTTAATTGCAGTTAAAACTTGTAAGTTTAATTTTCAGAAGTGAAATGTTCAATTCAGGCAATGGCAATGGCAATGGCAATGGTGATATTTCATTTTCAATGTCTTGTATTTTCTCTATCGGCAACAAAGTCTTTCTTTATATTTTTTCCATAAATTGTTTGGTTAGTTGTAATATAGGGAATTGATTCTAAATTAAATTCTTGACTAATGTTTTTTATTTGGTTTATGAGAGATGAAAAAGTTTCATGTCAATTAAGAAAGTCATTGTATTATGTTGGATTTTGCTAGTAGTAGCATTTATATTCATGTCAAGTATGCAAATCATTTTTCTTTTTGCTATTCTTCTTCTTGTTCAATTTTTTTATTTTTATTTTTTTTAATTCCCTTCAAAATATTCTGCATCCCCCTTCCTCTTCTTTTGTTTTTTCTTTTCTCCTCTTAAAGTTTCTTCTTCTTGCAGACTTGCACTCACGTAGGATGTATGTGCAGTAACCTTTTTTCTCTCTTCTTAATTTTTTTTTTTTTTTTTTCCTTCTCTTCTTCTTCAAATTTATTACCTCAATTTTATGAACCTAATGTCTGTATTTTATGTTTCCGATTTTTTCGTTGTTGTAATTTTTAGGGAACTTTTACATGTTTGATCTTGATTACTGCTCTGTTATTGTTCTACTATTTTTTGGCTTGCTTTCTTGTTGCACTGTAAGTTGGGAAAATAGTATTTTTATCATGTTTTATGTGCCCCAAAAGTAAATTCATCACTGAATGCGTGGCTGCTCTGATAACTTGAAAGGTAATGTAGCTTGGTAGGGGATCCATAGACTCTAATCAGTGGCTGCTCAAATAATAGTTGTGTAAAATTTGTAATGTAGCACTGAAATGTATTACTTATCAAAAAAAAAAATGTAGCAAATGAAATGTATTAACTTTTAAGATAAAAATCAAGTGGAACCTAAATCTAAATCAAACAATACTCCTAAAACATATATAATAAACAATATTGACTTTGTAAGCTAAAATCTGACTGAATGTATCCCTCGAGTCCTCCTGTCAGAATTTGGTCGTCTGAATTTCACACTCCAAAGTTGCTTCGCATCTTAATGGACCAAAAAAAGTGTTTGCCTCAAAGAGTGAGCAATATAGAAAGTATAGTTACCATTACATGTGTGATGTGACCTACTAATAATCTCAAATTAAATTGCAATGAAACTCCTTGGACCTATCCACGATTTTAAAAAGTGATAGATCCTTATTTAATATCCCTTCACTAGAACTGTAAACCTCATTTTCATTTCTAACAAAGACAGGTTTGCAACTATTCTCATTTTCCCAAACAATTCTTTTTGTCATTCTTGACCTGATAATGGAGTCCTAATTCTTTCTTTTCTTTTATTTTTTTATAATAAATTATGAAAACCTTATATTTCCAAGGAGTCTTGCAACCCAGGATTAGTTGAAGATTTTATAATATGGGCTTGAATTGCCATGAGACATGATGACGATACTTCTGAAGCTGAGTGCTATAGCCTATTTAAACACTGACTACTGCACATGTTTACCCAGTTAAGATTTTTAAGGATACTCTCTGTGGAGGTTTATTGACTGACGTTCATTATTTGAGTTATATTTGGGGATGCAGTATGATCAAGGGAGCAGATGGCAAGGGGTGCAGTGGGTAATGGTTGTGACCGTTGTTCAAGATATTTGAGAATGACTGATGTTGAGTAATTTGTTGAGTGTTTTGGTATCTTTGATGTTATTAATTGCACCACTTATCTGTTAGGAACACACTTTGTAATACATATCTTAATTTGTCATATATATAATATAGATATGTATACATCTTGCAAATACATACCACCAAAAAAAAAAAAACAAAGGTGCATGTGTTGAAAATCATGCACTTAACTTCATTTCTAGTCTTCGAGTGCATTGTAACAAGGAAAAAGGTTGGCTGTTCAGTGAATTATGGATGGGTAAACTTGTTTATGCCAATAATCATGAACTGCCATGTGTCCATATATGTGACTTGTATTTGGATTTCAGTATAGTCATATTGCTACAGTAGTCTATATTCTACTCAAGCTTAGGTTGTTTGAACTTAGATCGATCTTAAAGATGAAATCGAGATTTATTTAAGCTTAATAACTCCTGTTTATGCTTTGTTCATTTTGGGCACAAGCTTGTTTCTCTGCATAATAGAGCTCATTCAGTATCAAGTATCCTCATTTTTGTCGATGCAAATTAGCAGCTGCGACACACTAGTAGATATCTTGAGTTTTCTTTACACCTTGTTCCTTCACATTATGACATGTAGTTACTTATTTTTTATTTTATTTTTGCAATACAAACTCTTTACAGGACCAGTCAGCTCAGACGTCTTCGTCTTGTGTCATGCTATAGCATTTCATGTGAGGGTTTGAGTGAAGCGGCTAAAGGATTACCATTGTTAGAGGAGCTTCACATGTATTTCTGCCCTATGTCAAAAGAAGCTTTTGAAACTGTGGGACGCTGTTGTCCTTTGCTGAAGTCGTTTTCATATAACAATGAAGGGTGTAGAAGCCTGCCAATAGAAATAGAGTGTGACAATGAAGCACTAGTTATTGCAGAAAACATGCCTGAATTACGCCACCTTCAACTATTCGGAAATAGGATGACAAATGTTGGCCTGCAGGCTATTCTTGACGGTTGTTCTCACCTTGAATTCCTTGACCTGCGGCAGTGTTTTAACGTTGTTCTGAAAGGGGATTTGGCAAAAAGACTTAAAGAGAGGATCAAAGATGTGCGGTTGCCGCACGACTCCACTGAAGACTATGGATTTAATGCTCAAATCATTGATGATGAATCATTTGGTGATGACCCATTTGGATTATCTGACATTGACCTCTTGTCTGATTATGATGACTATCTTCAATTCTCTGGTGACAGTGACATGGATTGTGATGACTATTGTCAATTCCCCGGTGGCAGTGACTTTTCTGACTTTGAGGAGGATCCGTATTCATAATTTTAAGCTTTTAGCAGCTACTAGCTAGATAGTTCGTGTTTTGTTAGTAGATAGAGTCAAGACTCAAGACACAACTTTCAGTATTTTGAATTCCCCCAACATGGAGAATATATCTTTGTGCACCTTGCACCTGGCCATTAGAGCGGTCCGTTCCTGCACTTGTTATGCACAGACGGATCTCATGTGCCCGGTGCACCGGGCATGGCGAATACCTTCTCCCCAACATGACCGTTACAATGAATCGTGAATGGGTATGGAAGATTATTTTTTTGGCATTTTGTAGGTGGGGATTGTTTGTGATCTGGAAGTGCATGAAGGGCCTATATTTGCTTAACTGGAGAAGATAGCTGAAATGCTGAAATGGTGTCGTAATCTGATGCAGTTCTTGAATAAGTTACTGCTGATCAGAGCTACATAATCATGTCTATTTATTTAACATGTAGAGCTGACTTTACACCTATTTGGCCCTTAAGCTTTCTAAGAGATACTTGTTTATTATGTTTGGATATGTGATATTTGGGTCGAGTGAATTGTTTGGCCTACAACCTGTCGGTCAAGCAAATCAACTTTAACTGCCCGGCTTTAAAATTATTTTCTTTATGTTTGTCGTTTTAAATTTCTTACTCGCTCTGGAAGAGGTACAGGACTTGATATAAGGCAAGAGATGGTAGATGAAAACTGGTAGGGAAAATAGACGAAGGTTGCTATTGGAGAGGAGCAAATGGATTATGGGTGACTCTGAAGAAGACGAGCACGTCCAAAGTGAGACCTGGCATGCGGAAGAAGAGGAAAAGTTGTTAGAAATCAAAGTTATAATAATTGTGTTTTTGTTTTACGGTATATGGATCATGACTGATGTTTTTACTCGATGGTTTGACATGATTTTAACTCTACTTGTCTCCAGATAAACAAGGAGGAGAAATAGAGAAATGATAGTGATATAACCTGGGGAACTGAAAATGAGAGAACGGAAAGGCAAAAAAAAAAAAAAAATTCCCTTTGAAAGGTTAATCAGACTCACAAATACTTTCATGAAGGCTTGAGCCCCGAATGAGTGGTGAAAATCACTTCCAGTGAAATAGTAATCCATTTTTACCATTTTCAAATAAGTGGAGGAGAATTGGTGAAATTAATTAAAAATCTTGAGAAACTAAATTTTCACCACCTTGGAGAAGTCAGTTGATTCTTCCGAAGAACCTACTACAGCGAAGCACTATGCCAGGGTGGGGGGACGAGAAAAACCTACTACAACGAAGCACTATGCCAGGGTGGGGGGACGAGAAAAGAAACGGCTCCGAAGAAATTAATTGGGGTTATTTCATATATAAAAGCTTTAATTATTGTATTCCGTATATATAAACACATTTAAATATTATATATAAAATATGCATGTCTTCTTTCAAAATATGTTGTCTTTTTTCTTTCTCTCTCTAAAAGCTTCATCATTTATCATTAATGGACTCTTCAAGGACTCACAATAACTTTTGAACTTCAAAACCCAAACACACTCCAAAAACTAATGTAATTTCACTGGAGTCAAAAACCCATGTAATTTCACTGGAGTATTATGCATAAATTCCAGAGTATCATCCATAGATCTAAGCTTTGTTATTGTAAATCTCGATTTTTGGTTTGTTTTTTCTTATCTGATTAAAGAGCACAAACATTACTGGTTCGCACTCTATTTAGTAGAATTTTGTTGGGATTTTACGTGCAACATAAGTATGAAATATAGTTAGTACTGCTTGGGATACAAAATACTTATTGCTTGGGATGTTAAGTAGGATTATGTTGGAATATTAGGTACAACTTATACTGACTTAAATTACAAACTGTTGGGATGTTATGCAATACACAAATAATTAAACAAAAAAATCATGTCAGTCCAGATGTTGCTCGATCTGTTCCAAAATTGCTATGTTAATTTGAAATAAAATAACCTAGTATACGAATAATGAGAAATTTATGGAAATAAAAGAATTGAGAAATAGATGTGTGATTTGTTTGTGATTCGTTTTGGAAACAAATCAAAGAGAATTATTGAGATTTGAAAGAAGAAGAAGATAATAAGTAAAAACGGTCTCTTTCTCTCTCCCTGAAACCTTTGGGCAAATTTAAGCAACTAACGGGATTCGGACTGATTGATATTTTTTGTGAAAATTAACAAAAGACTCCCAACAAACAATATTTTGGAAATAAATCAAAATTAATATTTTGGGAGAGAAGAAAATGGCGGGATTTGGATTGCTAAAATGAGTTGCTGAAAATAAGGAAAGAGAGAAGAAAATGGCGGGATTTGGATTGCTAAAATGAGTTGCTGAAAATAAGAAGAAATAGTATTTGTTAACAGTGTATATATGTATATTATATATTTGGAAATTGTGTATGAAGTAAATAAACATTTTTACCCACCTAGTAACTATTGTTCATTAACAAAAAAAAGTAAAAAAAAATGGGCTACTGTTAGACTGGAGGTCAACCCTCCCCCTCCTTAACCAAAAAAACAACTGGTTTCCTTTGATTATTTTTTGTTCGATCTAGATTTCTTGCCAATGGTAAGTTTTTTTTTTTTTTTTCATATGAATTATATCAATATTTAGGACTTTTATAACCTTTATAATGTTTATACAGTATTTTTCTTGAATAAAACCCTAATTTCCTCATTGATCTATGTGTCTATATAACTTGATAAATATATACTCAACTTCATATTTATCATAATTATAAATTCGATTTTGGAGAATGAATATGGTAGTTGTATTGTGACTGTAGTGGTAAAGATGGTGGTTGTGATGATGTGGATATAACAATAGTAGTTAAGATTGTAAGAAGATGGAAGAGATTAAGAAGGAGATAAATTGAATAAAGGTATTAGCTAACTATGGTAAATTGATTATTAAAATTAATATTATTAACTATGGTTAAGTCTGATAAAATAATAAAGTGTAATTGACTAATTTAGTTTTGATCCATTGAAAAGTGTTGTTTTGGACTGCTTAAGAGTCTTTCTGTGTAAGTGAAATCTTTTTAAAACATTTATTCATGAAAAGTTATTGTTTGTTCTAAAAATTAGATTATTAAGTAGCCCCATATTGTTTTGCAAAATTATTTAATTGATATATGTGTGTGTAAGTGATAAGGGTTATCGAATTATTTACTTTTTTTTTTTTTTTTTTGACAAAAAAACATTTAGCTTTGTCACCTCCGGAAGGCAACAATTGAAGCCGGTGGCGTATGCGGATACCGCTTTTGTCCTAGACTGCTTTCAACCATTATTACCAACAAAATACCTTTCGAAAAAAAAATTTATTAGCAAAATGTTGTTTCCTTGAATTATATATATATATATATATATATATATATATATATATATATATATATATATATTTGGGAGGTCTAATAAAACCAACACAGGTCTTTTTTTAAAAAATACACTTACATGGTAGCTATCAAAAAAAAAAATCTAACCTATATAATATGCGAAAAAGGAAATGTAACATTATAAACCTTGATTTTCGTATCCTCACGTCATGAATAAGGTTGAGTTTTATACTACATTTGTGTGGGATATTGTAGAATATCCGGAAGAGGAAAGGAAAATTTTATAAATGAAGAATTTGTAATATTCTAGAAATGAAGAGTTTGTAAAAGTTGGTCTGATTGAATAAGATTCTCGAAGAATAGAAAGTTTGATAGAAATTATAATTTAAATATCTAAGATAATTAGGTGGAGAATTTTAAAGGGGAAATCTTTATCGTTAAAAGTATTAGATCTGGTTGTCAATTTGAGGGAAGAATACTTATATAAATAGAGAGAAAGTGTAATAAGTTACTGAATAAATGAGAGGGTGTGTAAAAGTGGAATGAAGCATAAGCACTTTATTAGAATGGGAAATTGGGTCCAGATTTACCAGTTATGGTATTGCATTACAGTTTGCGCTCTAATTTCTTGTATTGCTTCACCTCCACCATTCTTCTGCTTAGTTGATTAAAATCTCAAAAATATAAAAAATTGCTGGGTTGAACGGCAATGAGAAGAGTAAATGTTAATGACAACTTATCTATTGCCAATTTATCAACTCTAACAACAATGTTAAAATATTATAGGTAAGTTCTTTGGAAACAAATTTCTATAATCTCATTATTCACAATTTTTTTTTAACTAATTAATCCCCACAAACACAATCCAATGAAAAAAAAAACTAAAAATAAAATAAAAAATCAACTAAATACAATAAACTAATGCCGTCAAAGCATAAATAGTGCAAGACTCACATAACTGGCCAAATGATCAAACACGAGCATAATTGTAGTTCAATGTCCAAAACACAGCCTTATGTAGACATATAGGCTCATATGTGAATTTGTGATTCACGTATCCTATTAGGCCAAACAATAAATTAAAAAAACCAGTCTGACCCCCCAACCTCAAGAATCACTTAAAGTCTGATCTTCCAACCTGAAGAATCACTGACAAGAGGCCATCAGAGAAATAGAGCACTCAGGTTAACATGCAGAGAAGAATCTTCGTCACTTCAGCCCTATTTGACAAGAGTGCCCCCATTAACATACAGAAGTTTCTACATAAGTCGTAGGCCAGCCAATCAAATGTTGCAGTTTCAAAGCAGTATATGTTACGCCCGCCATATGTCTAAGGCCGCATGTGAACTTGGGAAAGGCAAATTCGTGACAAACAGGACTTTATAAGAATGGGAGGTCGGGAATCAGTTGAAAAAGTCGTTGATACGGGAATTGATCGAGGAAGTCACCAACAAGTTTCTCGACGGAGATAAGAGGAGGAAAAGCAGCCAGCAGGAAGCAGGGGCATGGGTTTGGGGCAGCAAGGTAGGTTGGGTTGGAGCAGCCTGCATGATAAAATATAAATGTGGTTGTCAAACCAAATATCTCTTGCTAAAAACAAATAACTGCAAGTAGCATAGATTATCAACATGAATATCTACTAGCAAATATTTATTTAATTTACGAGTGCACTTTGACTCTCACGCTGCGCACGTTTTCGTTTCTCTTCTTGCTTACATTCTCATTTTGTGTGACTAAATTTTACGATTTTCGTGCTCTTGCTCCACGTGACATAGGGCGGGCCGAACAATAAATTAAAAATAGCAGTCTAATCTCCCAATCCAAAGAAACACTTCAAGTCTGACTAACCTGAAGAATCACTCACACGAGGCCAGGGGCAGATCCAGAAATTTTGGTCTAGGGGGACCGAAACTCGGTTCACACGAGACAAAATTGGAGGCAAAACTAGTACTATGTAATTAAAATTTAAAAAAAATTGTAATATGATTTTTTTTTAATTATAATTTTTTTATTAGTATACATATTGAGAAAAATACAATCCAACAAAAAAAAAAAATTGAATCTAAGTATTTGGAAAGCTGATCATGAATATATATATATATAGTGAAGAAGTGACGAGAATTTGTAAAAAAAAAAAATTGTTTCAGAATTAAATTTTATTCAACAATTGTTTCAATTTTTGAAGAATAAAATTTTGATCACTTTGATTACCTTGATGAAATATTAAAAGAAAAAATATAACATTTTAAATAAATAAAGTTTAATAAAAAAACAATTAT